GCCATTATTCCTGTTCACAGAAGATTAAGACCACTGAAATGTTACCCACCAAGTACTTCATCTCTGCAGGATTGGTGAGACGGAACAGGGCGATGTGACTCCGCCAATCCGTCCGTCTCCTTATATACCTGTTCACTCAAACGACCTTGGCAAAACGCAGACAGCACAGTACGAAAATAGAAACTGGCTTTGAGTAGGACACGCCCACATGAGATGAAGAACCGCCCACAGGAAATGTCTGGTGTCTTAGTCACTATTCTTCATTATCTTCGGCATGGGACTAACAGTGTCTTGAATGAAGGATTTTTTTTCTACATGTGTGCGAGTGAAAGTTACAAAGAAAAATGAAAATACATATTTTTCTTTTGTCTAGCACACTACCTGTGCATATACATACGTATATCAATAGATAATAATTATAGTTATAACTAATTATAGGCAGATCCACAGGTTTACAGCATATGGGTTCCTGTTTATGTATGCACATATGCATATGTTTACATAAATGTATTTATTATGGAGATATGTATGTATACATTTATGCCCCTTCGTGTGTGTGTATTTTCATGGTTATGAACATTCTGTTAATATGTTAGCTTCGAGTAACTGTATTATTCTTCGGCCATTAAAAACAATTTCTTCAGAAAGACATAACTGAAAAGAAAAACAAATGTAGAAAAATAACAGTAATACGTATGTATATAAATATGTACATATACAGCGTGTATAAATATAAATGTAAACATAATGTATGAATATGAATATATATACAAATATACATATAGGTATGTGTATGTCTATATGTACATACATACATGTATATATACATACATATACATATATACAGTATATATATAATTATGCATACTGAATATGCATATATATACAAATGTGTATATATGTGTGTATATGTATATATATTTGTGTGCATATCCACGCATATGTGTGCGTATATATACATACATATAACATACATATATACATATATACATACATATGTACATACATATATACATACATATATACATACATATATACATATATACATACATATATATACATATATACATATATACATACATATATACATATATATTTTACATATATACAGCACACACACACACACACACACACACACACACACACACACACACACACACACACATATATATATATATATATATATATATATATATATATATATATATATATATAATATATACATATACATATATATACATCATATATACATATATATTCATACATATATACATATATGTACATACATATATACATATATATTCATATATATATATATATATATATATATATATATATATATATATATGTACATACATATATGCATATATATACATACATATATACACATATACATACATATGTACATATATACCTACATATATATATATATATACATATATACATATATTATACATATTATACATACATATATACACATACATATATGTACATAAAATATATACATATATAATATACATATATACATATATATATACATATATACATATATACATATATACATACATATACATATATATACATATATATACATATATACACATTATATATATACATACATATATACATATATATAGGTGTGTTTATATATGTGCCTAGACATATAGGTCTTTATGCCTTTCGCAACAGGTCCCTCCCCCGGACCATGGGGTACAGCCAACAGAAACATGAGTCCAACCACCGTGGAAACCGTGAGACCGGCATAGCACCTGCTGCTTGCACAATACGAGGACGGCAATTTGGGCTCGCCTCCCCGAGGTCGACCCTTGCCCGACAGGCGGTCTCTTCCTGAGGCAAATGCATATTACATACTGTACAGATATCAGATGCACAGTGAGAGAAAGTCTCAACCCTTAGGTAACACGTTTACTGAATCTATATATACTTTTAGATTTTCATTTTATCAGTGTAATATTTGCTTGATGTAATTTACAATAATATGCTTATAAAAATCATTCCCGCAATTGCAAGTATTATAATTCAACTACTGTACAGCTCATTTAATATTACAGTTACCCAGCTTTAGGAACGTATTTTCTGG